TGGGATTTGACTGCCTGGAATTTCTCCTTCCATTGGGATTTAAGTGCATGGAATTTCTCCCTCCATTGGGATTTAACTGAATGGAATTTCTCCTTCCACTGGGATTCAATTGCATGGAATTTCCCCTTCCATTGGGATTTCACTGCATGGAATTTCTCCTTCCATGCAGGGATGAGGGTTGGGAACACTGGGATTTAACTGAATGGAATTTCCCCTTCCATTGGGATTTCACTGCATGGAATTTCCCCTTCCACTGGGATTTAACTGCATGGAATTTCCCCTTCCATTGGGATTTCACTGAATGGGATTTCCCCTTCCATTGGGATTTAACTGCATGGAATTTCTCCTTCCATGCAGGGATGAGGGTTGGGAACATTGGGATTTCACTACCTGGAATTTCTCCTTCCATTGGGATTTGACTGCATTGAATTTCTCCTTCCACTGGGATTTCACTGAATGGAATTTCTCCTTCCATTGGGATTTCACTGCATGGAATTTCCCTTTCCATTGGGATTTAACTGAATGGAATTTCCCCTTCCATTGGGATTTAAGTGCATGGAATTTCTCCTTCCATGCAGGGATGAGGGTTGGGCAGTTGGTGAACAGAAAAGAGCTGCAATAGGGTGAAATGTTTGGGAATGGGCAGAGTCTTGGGATTTGAAGGATCCTTCCATGACCCCTGGCTCACTGCCCCTGCCAGTTATCACTTCCACGAGGTTTTCATGGCAGGGAATTCTTGTTGGAGAGCTGCCACTGTATGGGAAGCTGGGGAATCTTGGGAAAATCCAGTGGGATGATGGAGGAGATGGAAAATTCACATCTGCCACCAAGGATGTGTTGGATCCATCCCTGAAGACGGGACAGTGACAAAGGGACGATTCCTTTAACACAAACATCACCACCCATCTCCTAAAGTTATTTTATTTTTTTTTTTTACCAGCTTGAGGAAGTGGGGGGTGGGGGGTGGAAAAAAACCCACTTTGCACCCCACAAATCTTTTCAAATGGGGCTTGCTGCATTTTGAGATTTCTCCCTCGTGCCTCCCAGGGTTCACTGCTTCCATTACCTGATCCCTCTGGCCAAGCAAGGCAATTATGCCATCGTGGCCAACGTGGAGAGCATGGACTACGACCCGCTGGTGGTGAGGCTCAACAAGGACATCAGTGCCATCGAGGAGGCCATGAGTGCCAGCCTGCAGCAGCACAAGTTCCAGTACATCTTCGAAGGTCAGGCACTTCCCAGTCCTTCCTTAAAATGAAGGGTTTTCCTTTCTCATCCCAAAGCTCCGCGGGGCTCCTCGCAGCGGTGAGGGAGACTGAGGGGCTGCTGTCACCCACAGGACATCGAGGGAGGAATGTGGGAGGGGGTCTGACAGGATGGGAGAGCTGGGAATGTTCACCTGGAGATGGGAAGGATCCAGGGAGAGCTTCCAGAACATTCCAGGGAATAAAGGGGCTCCAGGAGAGCTGGAGAGGGACTGGGGACAAGGGACAGAGGGACAGGACACAGGGAATGGCTTCAGATTGGGAAAGGGGAGATTGGAGTGGGCTGGAATTGCCAGAGAATCCCTGGATCCCTGGAATGTCCAAGGCCAGGCTGGATGGGGCTGGGAGCACCCTGGGACAATGGGAAGTGTCCCTGCCATGGCAGGGGTGGCACTGGGTGGGATTTAAGGTCCCTTCCCAACCCAAATCATGCCGGGATTCTGTGATTCCCTGTTTGTTTGGGAAGAGGGAAATGACTCCACACGGAGCCACAGGCACCATTCACACCCTGCTGAAATTTAAATTCATGCTCGTGCTCCTCCTTAACCGCAGGCACCTCTTAAACCCGGGCCTGGGATTTACAGATCTGGCTCCTTGTACATGAATTAAATCCTGATTTTATCCTCTGGGCTCGCCCAGCCCCGTGCAGTGTGAGCCAGGCTGGGTTTTGCCTCTCTGCAATGTGGCACACAAATGAGTGGGTGCCTCATTTTGGGGGTGGCCGTGTCCTTGTGACCTCCCTCAGACCCAGCCAAGCGTTCAGGACTGATCAGACAGGGGTTGTCCATCAGGGGACATGGAAATGCAGCTCATCCCTGCTCCCGGAGGCTGAATTCCCCAGGGAAAAGAGGGAAAAAATCTGGATAGCAGATTAAAATCCTGGGGTTTTCCAGGAGCTGCAGTGACCCATTGCTCTGCCCAGACAGCGATTGGGAAGGGATATTATGCAAAGCCTGATTAAAAATCAGTTGGTTGTGATAAAACAGCTCGAAGTTTTGGGGCAGTTTTGTTATTTTATTAAAGAGCTGGAAAGTCCTAAACTGCACCATGAAGATTCCTGAGGGTTTCCAGGAAAAACCCAATTATCCCTTGAATCCAGCTCACACCCACCACTCAGCAGGGCTCATTTTGGGGTTTTTTTTTTTTTTTTAACCCAATGCAGGTTTGGGCCACCTCATCTCCTGCATCCTCATCAACGGTGCTCACTACTTCAAACGCATCAGCGAGTCTGGCATCAAGAAAATGTGCAGGAACATTTTCATCCTGCAGCAAAACCTCACCAACATCACCATGTCCAGGGAGGCCGACCTGGACTTTGCCAGGTGAGCACAAACCTCGGGTTTTGGGGTTTTTTTGGTGGTTTTTGGGGGTTTTTTTTGGGTTTTGGTGGTTTTTTGGGGTTTTTTGGGGTTTTTTTGGGGGTTTTTTTTTTTCTTTTTTTTGTTTTTTGGGAGGTTTTGTTTGTTTGATTTTTGGTTTTTTGGGTTTTTTTTGGTTGTTGTTGTTGTTTGTTGTTTGTTGTTTGGTTTTTGGTTTTTGGTTTTTGGTTTTTGGTTTTTGGTTTTTGGTTTTTGTTTCGTTTCGGTTTGTTTTGGGGTTTTTTTGTGGCTCCTTTCCAACAGGCTCAGGCGTGGCCCAAATGAATGTTGAGTTCAAGGTGATGGTGGAAATTTTGGAAATTTTTGTTTTTCCTTTGGGTTGAGCAATGCCCAGAGGGATGTGGAATTGTAGGATCGGGGTGGGGTTTTTTAGGGAACGTAGGAGTGTGCTGAGTTTTGCATTGTTAATTAGTGGTTTGTTATTAATCTCGTTTGGTTTTGAGCCAGGATTATTAGAAAGGAGATTGGGGCAGTTTTTTTGTGCTTGGATTTGGATGTTTATTATATTTTATCAAAATTTACAGAAAGTACAACAGTACCTCCAGCTGCTTGCTAGAAGTAGGAAAAATGAGCACAGTTGAGATTGCTTTAAGGCTTTTTAGAGCTAAACACACCAATAAAAATTTTACACTTATATTATTTATATTTTTAACTTAATAATAGATTCTCATGACTTTTAGAGTGACTTTTAACTGACCAATTTAAAGGTAAAGTTTTGTGAAGAAGAAGGAAGTGAAGAAGAAGAAAAGACACTACTTAAATTTTTTTATTTTGTTCTTTAACTGCTACTATGTAAAAATATTACATTTAAAACTTATCACTTAGTGAAAGCACACACATTTAACTTACTACACAATTGTGATTTTTAACTTATTATTTATAATATAATATTTATCTTTATAATAATAATAATATTTATAATAAGTTTTTTTCAAGGTTTTAGCTTTAGTGCAGTGTTTTCCAGGAGAGTTTGTGCCTGGAAGCACAGGAAGCTCAAAAACTTCAGATTTTTTGAGATCCAACAAGGTCATCAAGTCCAAACTGGATCAGTTGAGGTTTGATGTGAGCTCCCACCAAAGTGCTTGGTACTTCCTTGGGGTTTCTCCAAAATCAAAACCCAGGCAGGAAAAAGTTTCCCAAGGTAGTGGGTGGACTTTAACCAGGATGAAATTGGGGCTTGGATTTATTCCCAGGTGAGAAATATTTTGGTTTGTTGAAGGTTCAGAGTCACCAGGTCTCCCTCAGGTTCTGGAATAGCAGGAAGAGCAAAATAACCCCAAAGCTGGGTGGTGTGACAGACCAAAAAAACCTCTCCCACATTTTGGGATTCCTTCACTCCAGGAGGATTGAGGGATAAGCAGGTGGGTGAAGTCAAAACCCCAGAGCTGTGGTTTTGGATTGAAAACTGAGCCAAAATCAGCCAAAGGAAAAACTCTGGAGCTTGGAAATGAAGGGATGGGCTCAAACCAGAGAGGTTTGTGTGAAATTTGGGTCTGGCCCAGCACAAGCACTGGGAAAATTTGGTGCCATCACTTGGCCAGTGCTGTTGGAGGCTGAACTGGGAGGGAACTGGGACTCCCCTGGAGTGCCCCATTAATTTGGGCTCTCACCTGGGGCTGGGTCATTACTGAATTCATTTCTTCACACTGGCACCATGGAGTTGTGAATGCTGAGTCCTGCAGGAGAGGGGGAAAGGGAGAAAGATCCAAACTCTGCAAAAAAAAAAAAAAAAAAAAAAAAAAAAAAACTCGCCGAATTTCATCTTTTCTTTCTTAAAAATGACCATTTTAAGGTGATTAAGGAAGGAATTTCCCTGATATCCAACCCTCACGTCCTCTGGCACGATTTGAGGCCATTTCCTCGTGTCCTGTCCCTTTTTCCTTGGGGGAAGAGCCCAATCCTCACCCTCCCACTGCAGCTTTGTGCAGATTTCCTTCCATCAAACCAATCCAGCAACGTTTCTTCCACTGCTCCTTCAGCTCCATCTCTTCCCTCTTTTCTTTTGGGGTGCAATTCCGTGCTCTGAGGAGTCTGCTTGAATTTTTTGGTTCTTCAGGAGACTCCTGAATGTTTCAATGTTTATTACCCGGCTTCTCCTCGTACATAAACAAAGCTCTGGTGTATCCAAACCCTGCCCTGCTCACCTGAATTCACAATCACCTGAAGGTTCTCACATCCACGTTACCCAGCTCTGCTCAAATTATTAAATAAACACAACAGTTCCCCTCCAGAAAGCAAAAAAAAAAAAAAAAAACCAAAAAAACCAGCATCAGGCTGGGATTAAAGTGATTTGTACCTCTGTGATGTGGCTCAGGCAGGAATCTGTAAATTCTCTGTGCTGTGGTTAACTCTCAGCTTTGCCTTTTTCAAAATCAAGTTGGTTTTTGGGTTTTTTTGGTTTTTTTTTTTCAGGTAGAGGAGAAATTCTCCCTTCCCTCTGCTCCTCCTGGGATCAATTCCCTCCCTGCCTCATTTCTCCAGGGAATTGGGGGATCATGAGTGGGACAAGGGACTCCCAACCCTGCCTGGATATTTCTGGATTTTTCTGAATTAACAATCAGTGCATCACTCTCCTCACAGCCCCTCTCCATGCATTAAATCCGAATTCTGGAAAGGGTCCCTCCCTTTTCTCAAAGTGAACCTGTTTGAAATCAGTTTGTGGCAAAGGCCAGACCAGTTCAGGAAGGACCAAAAGTTTTTTTAGGTTTTCCTGAGCGTTGTGCTTTCGATTTTTGCTTTTATTTTTCATTTCTGGTGTGGTTTTCAAGGCTTTTTAGAGGCCTCAGAGAACTCTGGGCACCCCCTTTTTTCTGTGCCCAGTGACTTCAGGCAAATCCCAACCAGGGGAGCTGGAAGGGGAAGCCCTTTCTCCTCTGAAGCCAAAATCAGGTGGAGGATTCACAGCAAACCTGTTGGTCCTGGTGAGGCTCTTGCTGTTTAAATCCCATTTTTCCAAACTTTTGTAACCTGCAGGTGACAACAGCAGCGTTTGCTGCTTTGGGAGCAGTGCCACGGCAAGGGGAAAATGTGTTTTTAATGAGTTTTCCTTTAAAATTCTCAGTTCAGGGCAGGGAAATTCTCAGCAGAGCATCACAGAGCAGAGCTCTTTTTGAAAAAAAAAAAAAAAAAAATTAAATTGCCAAGTGGTGTGAGGAGTTTTTATCCACCAGGAGAAAGGGTGAAACGGGCTGGTTCTGACTGCTGAGGTGTCACAAAGGATTTGTAGCATTTGCTAAATTTCCTGCAAGTATTAATAGTTTTTTTTTCACTCCTGTGTGTGTGTTTGGTATCTAGAGCAGCAGAAATGCAGGAGGTTGGTGGGGCTTCCAGTGTTTTATTAAGGAAAAAGTAGGATTTTCCTCCCTCTGGAATATCCAGGCATGTGCTGCAAAGTCTGGCTTCCAAATTCCTCCAAATTTCCAAAGTTTCACAGCCATAATTAGATTTATGGCATGAAAGGGATAAAAGCTTCAAATTGGAATTCCTACTCAGTTTCCTTTCCCTCCCTCCCTCCATCCCCTCCAAAATTCTCTGGGATTTTATGAAGATTCTGTCAGAGGTGGTCACAAAGGGTGAGGGTTCTGCTTCAGGCTCACCCTTAAATAAAAAATCACTGGAAAAAAAAAAAGAAAAAAGCAAAAAGCAAAAAGAAATAAAAAAGCAGCTTTCTGAGTAACACAAGTGTTCAAATTGAGTGTTCTGGAGAGTGAGCTGAGGTGGTTGCAAAGGGAGCAGAGAGGGCAGGGATGAAATGGGAACATTTTCTCCAGCAAGTGACCTCAGAAATGAAGGTTTCTGAGCAGTGCTGTCCTTGTCCCCGCGCCTCAGTGGTGGCACCAGGGGGATCCAGAGGTGTCCCCACACCTGGAGAGAGTTGGGAGCTTTCCCTGTGCTGCCATTCCAGCTGTTCCCGTGGCCACCCGTCCCGCAGGGACCAGGAATGTTTTCCTGCTGTCGATGGCATTGCTGGGGACATTGGCTGGCGCGTGTCCCTGTCGCAGATGTGGCACCTCCTTGGCGCTGCTGGTTGGGTCCCCAGGGAAGTGGGGTGGGGAGGAGCCCCCAGAGCTCCAGATGTTCCTGGTTTGGCCATCAATAAACCCAAATCATGGATTCGCAGGATGATGGAAGCTGGAAAAGATTTCGGAGACCATCGAGTCCCAGCCCAGAGCTCTGAGTGCCACCCCCCGGGATGGGCACCCCAAACCTCCCTGGGCAGCTTTTCCAGTGTTGACCAACCCTTATGGAGAAGGAATTTTCCCAAAAATCCACCCTGCCCTCCCCTGGCCCAGCCTGAGGCCGTTCCCTCTCCTCCTGTCCCTGTTCCCAGATCCCAAATCCCCCCAGGCTGTCAGGGAGTTGTGCAGAGCCACAAAGTCCCCCCTGAGCCTCCTTTTCTCCAGGCTCAGCCCCTTCCCAGCTCCCTCAGCCATTCCTGGTTCTCCATTCCCATCTCCCTCAGCCATTCCTGGTTCTCCATTCCCATCTCCCTCAGCCATTCCTGGTTCTCCATTCCCATCTCCCTCAGCCATTCCTGGTTCTCCAGACCCATTCCCAGCTCCATTCCCTGGCCACTCTCCATCCTCTCAATGCTCCGGGGAATGTTTTTGTTTATCAAATCCCATCTTTATTCCCAGGCCGGGCTGGACAGGGCTTGGAGCACCCTGGGATGGTGGAAAATGTCCCTGCCCATGACAGGGGGTGGCACTGGATGATCCTTCAGCTCCCTTCTCACCCGAAGCTTTCCAGAATTCCACGATCCTGGCAGAGGGGGCAAGCTTTGGGATGGAGGATGCAGCTGGAGCTTGAGCTTTTATCAAACCGCGGGGCTGGGTACCAGGCTGTGGTGCCACGTTTGGATCCTCAGCACCCAGGGCTCCCGTGCTGCCAGGCTGGGCAGGATTTTTTTGTTGGATTTTTTTATCCCGATTCCCGCTGTTCCC